CCTTGTCAGCTTCAAGTTGTCAAACCTAGTGAGTGGCCCTTTAATAAATTCGAGAATGTGTTTATCGTATTTTCGTGACAATTCCTCGATATATATATATATATATATATATATATATATATATATATATATATATATATATATATATATATATTGTAAGGAAGCAGACAGAGACAGCACCCGATCCTGGGCCAGCTGTTGTATTCTGTCTCTTTGTCTTCCCCTGCCTCTCCCAGCTAGCTCTTGACGCGCTAGAGCCCCAATGCCGCTGCAGTTAGACGTCACACTCGGCCATGACTGTGAGCGCATGCAGCTGCCGACAGTGCTTCAGGTGGGCAGGGTTGCCTGCATAGTGGTGCTCGGCCGCGACCACTTGACAACGTAGATGGGAGATCCGTGTGAAGCGTCTCCAGTGGGCGGCACTGACTGTTCCAGAGTGGCTGGACTCGGCTATGCTGAAAACTGACCCGTAAGTTTGTCTCAAGTTGGTTCCCGTGGCCGACACTAAGTCACCCGGGTCATTCGCCATGTTGCCGTAGAGTCTGGACCCTGGTTGATCCCTTTGTCCATGACGACACTGGGGGACGACATTGACTGTGTCTTGATGGTCTAAGACCTCGGCCACGTTGCGACTTTGCAGAGAAAGCAATTCCATTTTCCTCGGGTGGGCAGAGCATGCTTTCCCGGGGTAGTTAAAGTTCGAAATGTGGGGTTTAACGTCCCAAAACCACCATATGATTATGAGAGACGCCATAGTGGAGGACTCCGGAAATTTCGTCCACCTGGGGTTCTTTAACGTGGACCCAAATCTGAGCACATGGGCCTACAACATTTCCGCCTCCATCGAAAATGCAGCCGCCGCAGCCGGGATTCGATCCCGCAACCTGCGGGTCAGCAGTAGTTGAAGTTCTTTGACGTGATGCGGCTAGGCAAAGAATGTTCTCAGAGACGGTTCGGGTACGTGGCTGTTACTGTTTTGGCATCGTCGCCGGTTGTTTCCAAAAACACTGCTCATGCTGAAACCACTGTTTTGATAGCAGCGCACGAAATGATAGATCCGCCAATGGTACTTGCTGCACCAGACACAGCCGTCCGTGCGTCTTGCAGTGGGTCATAGGTTGGTTGGCTTCTCTAGTGGGTGGCAGCTTCAACGATCCGAGTTCCCTCTACGTTTGGCAATGTGGCTTCTGCTTCTGCAGCATTGCGATTTCGGAGATCTTTGGTGTTCTCAAGCCCGCTTTTAACAAAACAGCTCCTTGTGGAACTGGGATGGCCCAATAGGAAGCCGTTGCAAGAGTAAAAGACTTGTACTCTGCAGGCCGGACTTTGCTGAAAATGGCAAGAGACATGTCAGAAACTTTCAGTAATGTCGACAGTTGGGTGAGTTGGTGATAGTTCATGATTACTTATGAAGCAGTGCACGATGACAAGCACAAAAGAACGGTAAGCAGCACATGACGACAAGCACAACAGGAACGATAGGGAGACCGACAACAAGCACAAAAGGAATAACGTCTTTTTGTGCTTGTCGTCGTGCGCTGCTTCATAAGTAATCATGAACTATCACCAACTCGCCCAACTTTCGACATTAGTGAACTTCATTTCCTTTAGCAGCGGAGTCCCTACCATTCCTTTTGTGCTTGTCGTTTTGCGCTGCTTTATAAGTAGTCAGAGACCTTGTTGCCTTTTTGAGAGACGTGTTTTCGTAACGTGGAAATGCTCTCAAGTTCGCCTAGTGAATAATTTAAAACGTGCCGATCCACTTGAGTCTGGTCACGGACCAGCATCGTGGAATCCACAGGCACGTATGTTCCATTACGTTGCAGAACGTTCAGTAAGGTGGAGGCTGGTGCCTCAACATTCGCTGGATGGTCTGATGACTCCAAGTCCATTGGATGACCCGAGTCGGGACCTGTCTCGGGGGCCTTTCGCAAAGCTTGTTGTGAGGGACCCATCGGACACACCTGCACCATCGATCCGGTGCTTCTCAGGAGCTCGAAACATGACAGTGGAAATGTCTGTGCAAGGCACAGTTACACAGTCGTGATGGTCCCGTTGACTTTAGTGAAAGAAGGATCGCAGGATGGTAGAGATCCAAGTTGCATCCTTCAAGTCGGGCTTCTCCTGAGCTCCATCCTAGGGGGAAGACGAGTTGCACGGGCAGGTAACACAGTATATCAGACCGAAAGCAGCTATGAGCTTGGAGCTCTACTCTGCTCATGACTGCTGCTTCAAGCCTTCGTACCGGTGCCATGCCGTTGCACTTTTGCGAAGACGATCTATGGCCATAGACCATTTCTGATGCTCTGTCTAAATTGTGCGCACGGCTAGCGCGTTGACAGTGGCCACTCAGCTGTCGGCATCATTCCGGAACAGATCGAATTCCGGCAGTTCGCAGATGAACGGCGATGGTGGGGTGGCACGTGAGAATGCCGACATCACTGAGGCAAAGCAGCCGAGCTGGTGTGAGAGTTGCAGGAGAGTGCCCCTCAGCTCCCTGCGTTGCTCAGATGAGCAGGCCTCAAGATCTTGAGAGGTGACTGCGTCCAACATAGCGTTGCTTGCACTGAGGACCGGCAGAATTGCATAAAACAGCATGGAGCTCGTCGCTGTCACGGCAGTGACCGTGCCGCAGAGTTGCGCGATGGTACGCTGCAGATCCACGACGCTGTCGGGGGTAAAGCCTGAAGAGGCAGGGATCACGTTCACCGAGTCTGCAGTGGTTCCTCCACTAACAATGTTGAAATCCACGAGCAAGGAAGCCTGGACGACGTTTCAAGGGCGCTCGTATGTAAGGAGACTACTGGCAACGGAATGCAGGCCGTGGGAAGTTTGAACAGCATTCCCAAAAGACAGAAGCCTATGCGTATTCCTGTGGAGAAGTGGTGGCATGCTGTCCGTTAGGTCATGCCCTGGTACCACAGGGGAGGCATGGACGCCGTCCACTGGTGGTCCGATGGGCAGCTGAAGTGGCAGCCGAGTTGATGACTCCATCAGCAAGCAATCGTGGACGGCATTCCTTGACGAAGAAGCCTGTAGTGCCGACAACCCACGAGGCTACGAACAGGTAGCTTGAGCCGCAAAATTCAATTGTCAAGCTGCGCAATTGTAAGGAAGCCAGCAGAGACAGCACCTGATCCTAGGCCAGCTGTTGTATTCGGTCTCTTCGTCTTCCCCTGCCTCTCCCAGCTAGCTGCCAGCTGCCTTTACCAGCTTGTCATTACAAAACATATATATATAAACATTTGCATGTTTGAAACACTAATATGTCTCTTCCCCCACACCTGTCGTTGCATTTTGACCACCAAACATTATGTCTCGTGTTTCGCTGAAGACAGCGCACATGCGTAGACTACCTACCATAGAAAGTCCCAATAACTTTGAAACGAACACATGCATCCGAACAAACATTACTTTTAGAAAGCACATTCGTTGAGACATGATGTGGTTATCTCAAGCAGTTACACATACCAGTCATTTTACCAAAACATTTTATGTCACAAACCTGTGAGTACTGTACATTAGCCTTGTAAAGGTACTAGCGCGAGTTGGTGTTTTAAAAGCCAAACCTTGACAAAGCACCCAAACAAATTTGCATGTTGCTTTATGGACATGCAGTGGACCTTTCGCCGATTCACAAAAGAACAATTATAATGTAGGGGGCACCTAACAGTAGTGCTTGCAGGAGGCATTCTAGGATAGTTTGGACTGGCTTAAAGGGCCACTCACCAGGTTTGACAATTTTGAGCTAAGCGAAATGCATAGCCGAGGCGTTGATGATCACGCCTGCCTAAATTTGGAACGCTACGCGCTGCGAAAATGGGTCAAATTTCAAGATGAACGCTGCTCCCCCTCTCTTCTGCCGGCACACGCCTAGAGAATGAGGGCATGACATGGGCGTAGGAATGGCCCTACGTACACAGCAATGCAATGACGTTGGTTCTCTACGTAGACGACACTGCTCTGACGTTGTCGACAGTATACCCCGTGACATGGCAAAAATTATTTAACACGACACGCATAGCTTATGTATTTGTTGCCTTAAGAGATTAATAAAACTTGAAATAATAAATGAGATGCAATAAAAAAATGTGCGTGTCTTTCTTTCATTTTTTTCCCGTGAAATGCTATGAGATGCGGGGCTAACGTGCCAGCGTTTCGCATCCGTTCGTGTCCTCGCGGTCAGCGCATTGAGCAGACGACCGCCGTGGAATGCTCCTACGCATTCGCGCACTCATTGTGCTCATCTACTCTACAGCGTCTAAACAAGCATTTCCAAACCATCTTGCCGAAACAGGCAGAAGACCACAAAATAACGCTGGTCAACAAAGCAATGCTGCTCGCGTGCTCGAGGGTTGGACTTGTTTGGGCACGTCATGTGCACGTCACCTCATGGTCAGATGCCGGAGAGCGTGGGGAAGAGATTTGGCTTACGAAGGCTACGCGGAGGAGTGGCAAGGGTTTCGAGCCCGCTTACTCTCACCCTCGTTTCGCGCCACTTCAAAAAATCTGTTTTCTCTGCTCATGATGAATTGATTCGAAAAATTTTTTTGGCAAAAGGTTCCTCATCGAACACCCAACAACTTCCACTGCCTAACTAAAATTCGGTATGGGGCCTGGTTCTTTCCTTACGTTGTTCGTTTCCTTACGGCACAGCTGAGGCAAGCAACGAGAATCAAAGTGAGGCTAGCAATTGAGAAGACGATGCATACGAGGCCCGATTGCATCATTAGGTTCTACTTTTGAAGGCAAAGGTCAAACGCCCTCAAAGTAATTTTCTTAGCTTATATGCAAAGGTTGTGATGCAAGCGTTCCCAGGCATGGTCAGACAGTTCAATTTCTTCTTAAATGCCGAGCAATTAAGATTGAAAAACTCATTCGGGTGAAAACCTTACTTCACAGCACGTCACAGGTTCCCTCGTGTAACCCAAAGGGCACGAACAGGAGCTTTTTCAAGCACAGGATCACCACTTCAACTAAACAACAACAAAAACAACCAGTAAGGTGAGAAAAACATTTTAATGTTTTCATTTTTTTCTTAGACACTGGACCCACTATCAGCCCCACAACCGTTTGGAATAGATCAGAACACTATGCTGTCACATTTTAAAACCAATACACCGTTGACTGCAAAGTACATAAACTGACCTCTAAACATTACAAGGAGCACTTCTCGATACTTCAAATTACATCAATTGGCTCTCGTACCTGCGCCATATAATTGTTTGTGTGCAAACCAGCGCTAACCTGGTCAACAGGCAACTCGTCTTTCACGCTGTACACTTAAAATAAGAACCAAAAGGAACATATTCTGAGAACTTGAGGTCATATTGGCTGACTGTTAGAGCGAACTGCTGTGATGGCTAGTTCCAAAGGCACACTTACCCTTATCGTACGCAGCAAAACACCCGCACTAGTAAGTCTTTCAGCCATTCAACGAAACATGAACACAGATTAAAGAAACAAATTAAAACAAATGCTTTTGAAATCTTTCCATAAGAGCTCATGCAACATCCAAAACATACTGAACCAATGGAAACAGGCACAGACTGACTACTAAGCAATGAATGATTCAATTTACCCGTCGAACAGCCCTCAATTTTTCCGATGTCATTGCCCTGAGAAGTGCAGTTCTGTCGATAAAGCCAACCACTTACAAAAGTGCCATTAGTAGATAGGATGAGTCAGTCACTGCTACAATCGCCACACTTTCCTGGCTCATGCAAGATAGCCCCTTTGGGAGATTCTGGTATTGCTGTGACTTGATGGGAATATAAAGAGCTCGATGCGGTACGAAGCAGAAAGTTTTAAGCGTCAAGTGCAAGAATGTTTTCGGAAAGCAGTGCGGAATTTTCGAACAGTGTAGATGAAAAAACAAGTGACTGTGCTTTACAGGAAATGAATGACAATGTACAGAGAAGACGATAGCTTGCTCTGATGTATCAGTATCATCTCTTTGTTCCTAAACAAACCAAAACTAGAGGCCCCAAGCCAAATAAGCTAGCCTCTGCAAATTTAGCAATGTACACTAATCCCTTTACAATTACTGGTATAAAATCTAGTATTTCTACGGGTGTAACAGATGACCAGTTTTGTATGTCAACAGGACAGCAGACCGTTTTATAAAACCTGGTGGAATCTAAATCTTAAGCGACCTTTTGTAACTGCTAGATACCACGGTAAACGAGGTTGGTAGAGCTTACTCTATTTGCAAAACTTGCTTACAAATGCTCGGAAAGTGCAAAAAATACTAAAACATTCTTCATGACAGTACTACATGTGGTGAGAAGAAGAAATCACCAAGTTGAAATTTCCCTGCTTATGCGTACAGCCACGACAAATTAAAAAAACACCACTGTTGTTCAAAGGAGTCAGTGAATTTCCTCCAATTGTCAGTTTGTGTGCAGCCATTTGACTTTTTAGTTAATAACGTCAAGTAATCTACAACTCAAGCAATACTATGCACAAACCCGCTATAATTTTGCGTAACTTGGATGCTCTAAACCGTGAAATGCCCGAAAAGGTGTCAATAAAAAAGAATTCAAGGTTTAGCTCATTGCTAGAGAGTGGCAAGGTCTATCCTAAAAGCTAATGATATTAGCTGACTACAATGCTATCCTTCATTTTGTTTGATCATTGGGGATGCACACCCACTGCCAACTAAACCGGCTCTTTCATTCGGCACTTCTGGGAAATAATACCATCACAACATCACTTTCACATCAACCACACTTACCGCCATCCTTTCCTAATCAGCACACCTCAGTAAGAGAGAGAAAATACTTCTCAATGTGAAAAACTATACAGACGAAAAACAACAGTAAGCTTACTTCAGCTCACTGTGAGTGGGTCACGCTTGGAAATGTCAAGACTCAGTCGGCAATTGCTGCACATCCCCACTGCCGTAATGAATCAACACCTACTTGGCCTTACATATCAAAACTGGTGTGGTCCGCGGCTTCGGGGACCCCCTCCCCTCCAGTTGGGGCTCCACATGAGACCTGCGGCACCTCGTATGTGGTGGCCCCTTCCCTGAAGACCTGCTCCTCGAGCCTGTGGACCCGATCCACGACGTTGAGGCACCAGACCCCGTAGCCGCACTCGACGGCCTCGCAGACCGCGCACCACGTTTGGGCTTCTCTGCTGTTGAGGTTGCTGTGGTAACGTGATGGCCGAGGGGACACTGCCTACAGAGGCGGGGGTTGCTGCGGCATGCACCGGTGGAGGCGACGAGATGTGGGCGAGGCTCGGCGAGGGCTGTGTTGCTGCAGCTTGAGCGGCACCCTGTGGGGGCGTTGCCGTGGCTGCTGCTGAGCTCGAGGCCGGCTCGGGTTCCTCCCACACGATGCGACGCCTCTGCGGAGGTGCTTGCTGCGTTGTCTGCTGCTGCTGTGGCATCTGCTGTTGTTCTTGAGATGCTCCACTGGACGGCGTAGCCGCGGAAGCGTCACCGCCTGCGTACAATGCCCGACATATGAACATTTTACGGAAAGACGATGCAGTCTGTTAGGTTGTACTGGTGGAATGAATGTAGCAATGAACTCAGAAAACTTACTACCGCTAATTGAGCTAATAAAAAAATTCGCGAGACAGGCGGCAGCACTATTAGCAAGTGAATCTCCTTTAGCATCCTTAAATATAAAGAGAAAAAAAAAAGGGGGGGGGGGGATAGCTTGCACGTACACAGTCAAATCCTCATATAACGATTATTGTGTAAACTTGAACCTTTTTATTAGAGACACTGATGTAAGAGACAAATAGGCATAAGAGGCACCAGTGTTTCTGAATCAAAACAGGCATTCATAAGAAAACACATGCATGATAACCTGCTTATAAAAGACACTTTATATATATAAAAGACAAAAATTACTCCCCAGTGCACATCTCTTATAAAGAGGGTTAGAACTGTATATTGAACAGTTGCAAAATTCTCTTGAAATATCTTATATATAATGCATTTGATAAACTGAATTACCTACCTACATATAGGTCGGCCCACTGTTAGAGGAAATATGCGAGCGCATGACCTGCGCTCTGCGGCGGCTGCCTAGAGCACCATCAGCCGACAGCTAAGGAAAACTTGTTCGCTTTTAACGTCATTTACTGCCAGCCAAGATACCGATTTATGGCCAATCGACAAGCGCTGCTAGATTACACTCCCTCACTGCTTGCGCAACTAGCAATGTTGAGTGATGCCTGCAGCTTGGGCGGTGCTCGCGCACCACATTCCATTTGTTGGCAAAAGACGATGCACTGCAGGCATCGCCCTTTGTGCAAGCAGAGAGGGAGCATGATCTAGCAGCGCTTGCTTACCGGCCATGACTTGTTATTTTGTTTAGCAATAGATGACGCCGAAATCGAATGCGTTTTTTTCGACTGTCAGTTTATGGTGGTGTAGGCAGCTGCCACGGAGTGCAGGCCACGCGCTTGCGTGTTCCCTCTAACAGTGGACTGACCTGTACATTTACATAGACTTTTCCTGTAATCCCTACCAGATCCGATAAATTTGGGCTCAAATGTGATGCAAAGTAGGGAACAGAGACATTCAGTAGAAACCACCACTCCACTTTTGCACAACAAAATGCTGTTAGCGATGCCACTAAAGCTTTGCTAGAACATAAACTCACCCGGCAATGTTAGCTGCTCCGAGGCCTCGTCTGCTTCGGCATTCTCTTCCAACGACAGCAGCTCCTCTCTTTCCTCTGGAGTCACTGAGGACACAACAAACACTGATGCGGTCTAGGCTTGCGCCAACAGTAAATTTTAGGTTTGAAGTGAATTTGAAGCAAATAGTGACTCTGTCGCATAATTTCGAATCAAATTCAAACACACACACACACACACACACACACACACACACACACACACACACACACACACACACACATATATATATATATATATATGGAATGAATGGTTTGTAGAAGCAGAGACGGAAGAGGTGACAATGAAATAAACATGGCATATAAGCCAGGCTACGTCTCCCATTTATCATAGCGTCACACAAGTGGACAGGATCAAGACCTGCCAGCCCCTTCATCAGTCACTCATCATCAACACAGTTCCCCACAAGACGCCCTGACCATAGATTGACTACCGAACCATCTGCTAGTAGTACACGGTGACAGGCACCATGACGGAACCATCAGCTGACCTTGACCTTGGCATCTTGTGAAGAAAGGTTTTCTGCAGAAGCGTCTGGTGTTCATCAATCACAAGATCGAAGTGACGTGAGTCCAGTATACAACCTCACTGCCAACAATGAAAACAAAAGCGCAAATGCGACTTCTGACGACACAAGTACCCTTCAGGCAACCACCAATTTGAACGGTTTATAAATACAGAAGATTCAAGTGCACGAAACCCCCTACATTGTCTTGTGCGGGAAAAAGCTGTGACAATATAATAAACATGGCGTATGAGTCGGGCCACGTCTCCCATTTATCATAGCGTCACATATATCTATATGTATATTCTAAAAGAAATGAGCATATTAGTGATGACTAAAGAACCGAACTTTAGGCAGAATGCTTATTTTTTCGTGAAGTCCCTTTCGAGCCTATTTTACATATAAGCATGAACTGAGGAACGGGAAATGTTTTGGTAAAATTTTTTATGTGCCTGTAAGTGCACATTTAGAGGTTCGCGTCTACATCAGCTCAGCACCTCAAAATGCCTTTCCGCATTTGTTGAGTACTCGTTTTGCCTCAATGAGCTGTCCATATTAAGAAAAACCTGAAGCACTGAGTATGCAGATATTAATAAAAACACATGCATGGCACGCAATTTTTTTTCGTTCACGTTTCTAGCTTCTTTTTAAGGTGCGATTACAATGCGATGTAGGAAAGGCGTGCGATGCGCTGTGTCACGTCAGCAAAAACAGATCAAGTATGGCAGACAACGTATAACTGGTCTCACCCGAGGCACTCCAACGCATGTGACACTCGCCAAAACGCTGATAGGACTCTAAAATACCTTTATGTGAGCGGTTCTATAGTGTACCCCAGCCAGGCTACCATAGCGCTAGTGGGCCTCCCACAAAAGATCTCAGTCACTTGGTCCGAGAGTAGTGCAGTATGACGGTTGTGTCTGTGAGGCTTCGGAATACTCTAGAGAAGAGAAGCGAGGCTAGACTAGCGCTGTAACATACACGTCAGCATTGTTGGCATTTGTGTTCACCTTAACGGCAGCTGTTGGAAGTCTCTCAAGCAATGCCGAAGACAAAGGCGACGAATAACGTCTTCTTCAGGCAATGGATTAGTAGATCACAGTACTACTCCGTTAATAGAGAAATGGTACTTTGCCATCCATGTGAAAAGCAGGCAAGATGACTAGAAAAGTTGGCAATATTATACGTTTGATGACCACTCTGAAACACGTTTAAACATAAAGCTCCCAACATTGCTGACACAACTGCTAATTTTAATAATCCTTGAACCTGCGCAAATAATCTGCATTTTGTGGTAATTTCACCATAACTGAGACTCATTGTTTCGTAATTTTTATACCCATTATCAGTGAACTCGCATGCAAGAGGAAATGTGCCGCGCATTCTAGGTTGGGTACAGATATATGCTCCCCTAGCATTGCTTAGTGGCACTGCCACACTTGAAAGGCAGCATCATCTTCGGCAAAAAATAGAAACAAGAAACATTAGTCGCGTGCTTTCCCTTCTCTCCGCCGCTCGCTTCCGTGCACGTGCAGAGCTCTTGCGCTTGCATCGCCTTGGTTTGAAAATATCTTCCAGCTTCACAGGCGTTTCTAAAAGCAAGAGTACGGTAATCAATAGAGAAGAGTGCTCAGTAACGTATGCTGTCGGGCTAGTTGGTGTGTAACTGTGCAGAACATCGTTGGCGCAAACTTAAAAGACGTCGAAAGAAGAGACTCGGAAAAGCGCACACTCGCAACTGACTTTTATTGAACCGAAGCTCATCTTATAAACCCTCACGCATGCGTACAACCACAAGAAGAGACCAACGAACTATAATCACAATCTATCAGATAGAAAATCAAATTCATTATCATACAATGATAGAGATGGAACACTGATACATTGTTCGCCAAATTATCTAATAAACATCGCCTCTGCCAATTCCCGTGCCACTTTGTCTTTGCTTCTTAGTAATATTCTCGTACGGTGCAGTAGGGGTTCACACGAGCATTCCTTACAATGATGCTGCAAATGCGAACCTGTGCCGTTTCTCATTGACAGTGCATGTTCCCTTAAGCGATCGTTTATACAACGGCCCGACTGGACAATGTACACCTTGCCACAACTGAGCAGGATTAAGTAGACAATGCCTACCAAACAATCCAAAAACTTTCTTTCGTGCTTCTTCAAACAATGAGCACTTGGTACGCCACACGAACGAGCACAAATGCGCGAAAGCCTCCGAGGTGCCGAAAACACGACAGGGACCTCAAAACGAGAGGCCGCGTGCTTCAATGAATGAGCCACTCTGTGCATATACGGAATGACAACAGGTCGCTTCTGTGTTTTTTCCTTTGTGCCAGAATCGCCGGTGGCGTCATGTCGTCATTTTCTCAGTAAAGCTTCGCACACTGTCGTTAACGCCAACAAAAAAACCTGCAAACACGAGCCTGGTTATTTTCTCCCTGAAACTTTCATCAAGAACTTGGTGGCAAGACCTAGTAATAGCCAACTGTAAGCTCATACTAGCAATGGCCCTTTCTACTATTTTAGAATGAGCAGAATGATACGGCAAAGAAGCCTTCTGAGCACGAGGGTGATACATCCAACACACACAGTTTTTATGTTTACATCCAACACACATGGTTTTTTGTATGCATACAGAAAGCATACAATCTCTATCATTGTATGATAATGAATTTGATTTTCTATCTGATAGATTGTGATTATAGTTGGTTGGTCTCTTTTTGTGGTTGTAGGCATGCGTGAGGGTTTATAAGACGATCTTCGGTTCAATAAAAGTCAGTTGCGAGTGTGCGCTTTTCCGAGTCTCTTCTTTCGACATCTTTTAAGTTTGCGCCAATGATGTTCTGCACAGCGAAGAGTGCGTTATGATGTGGAGCAGACGATACATGACACCCAACTTATTGCGAAATATATTTCTGAAGTTCACAATAACGCCATGTGCGACGGTGCACATCAGAGAAATACGTTAAAGATACCTCATGGCCTATATGCACTGCGAAATGAACCCACTGACTCGATCGATGATCCACTTATCAACTACAAAAAGCATATCATTGTTAGTTTTTAAAGACGACGGTCTTTCTTGGAGACCTTCGACGAAAACATTTTGGTCTGTCTGTACATTGGTCTGTTTGTCCGCCAATAACGATACCTCAAACGACACCAAACGGCCAACCCCACCCGCAGCGCCCACCAATATTGCTCAAGATTTAGCAATATTAGTTGTGCGATTGCTAATTAAAAAGCAATTATTGCACATATCTGAGGCACCAGGACAACACCTTGATGTTTTGTATGTGTGCCTTTGTACTAGAAGAGGCACACACAAGTAATTATAAGGACTGTAGCGTTTATCACGCTGCGCTGACAGTGCAACGCAATGCTCAAAAAGGTGTTTCCAACGCTTTGCTAAGACAACACGGTGGTGGCACCTGCCTATCGCTTTTCATTCTACACCTTATCACCTCCGAAACTGGCGCGCATCTCTCTCCGCGGGCGCGCACGCTTTCGCCTCCACGCTCGAGGCACTCTAACGCAGCGCCTCCAGAATACCATTCACCGGTTTTCTTGCGTAGAATATCAAACGTTTTGTTCACTCTCTCCAGACGCAAGGCTTTCGTCTTTCGACGACATTTGCAGTGTAACATGCAGATTCGGGCCAATTTTTTTTTATGTGCATGCTCACTGTAGCAGACACATACTGTTGTGAACGAACTTTCGTAGCGTGCGAAAAAGAAACCGATTACTCAGCCATGCCACTAAGAAGCCAGAAAAGGACGGAGTCATATCCTTCGTACCGCTGCAGCGTTAAAAAGTACAAGTGCAAGTGCACTAAAGAAGCCCCACGTAACTGATGCACCTTTCTAGTGCAATTCACTCTTCTAATCCTGCAGATACTGTGTGAAAAGAAGTGTCACCTGGAGCAGCACGCGAAAAGAACGATGCACAATGTTAAGGTTTTGCGCAACTTTAACGTTGAGGCAGTCGTTCTTGCCTGAAGCTTTTGCCAAAGAAACGAGAAGTGAATTGAGCGCAGACTTATGCGAGGCAATGGTCGCTGCTAACATCCCTTGGGCCAAGATCAAAAACAAGACATTCAAAAATTCTTTGCAAAAGTACTGCAAATAAAATATACTATAAGAGTCCAAGCAGTACTTGCGGCCAATGTATAAGGAAACGTTAGTGAGAATCAGACGAGAACTTGTTGAATCATACATATGGATTTTAGTGAGCGAGACAAAAAGTGCGACAGGATGATTACTTGGACATTTTGTTGTTGGCAAGCTGGATGCAAAAGAGAAAGCAACACCTTTCTCAATATGCTCGAAATGACTAGAAATAAATTGAAAAAAAAAAAAAACTGTGATAACACTTTGTGAACTCATCCTTGAGGACCCTCCCAAGACGACCGGGTACTACACAGATGCAGCAGCTTATATCAGCTGCACTTCTCAACGTCTTTTATCCCGAATTATTGCATGTCGCTTGTCTTGCCCATGGGATTCATCGGGTCTGTGAATAACTGAAACAGTC